AGCTTAAGTGGTTAAAAGTAGTTATCCATGCACTGATGTCGCCAATGCTGGAGTTCATTTTGATATTAAAAGAAAGCTCTGTGAACAACATATTAAATCGAAAGCTTGACAATCCTATCAGGGTCTTATCTTATTCATCCTTATGATATGCATTTATAACTGAATGATTAAAAATGTTAATACCAATTCTGTTGTACAAGTCAACATATGCTTTCAAATTAATATAGAAGACCAGATAAAACAATTAATAATTAAAGTCAAATGTCTGACCATCGATGGCATGCTACATCGCCAGCTAAACGAATTTTCCGCCCATTTAATTATTTTAATTATTTCGATCCCCTCTTTGGTCCCTCGGTTTAGTTTATGAATTCTCTAGTCCTCGATCATTTATTTTGGTCTTCACATCACACCTTCCCTTTTATTTGTATGATTTCATCCCAATTGAAGAAATTCAAGTCCCTTTAGATTTGAGCTTATCAAACATAAGATTCATAGCTTCCATTCCAGATTTCTCACATGGTTGACTTTTAATTGATGCCAACTAATGGGTCGCATGCATAATAATACCATAGTTTGTAAGCAATGTTGTAACATATATATAGTCTCTCATCATTAATGATTATTTGTACCTATTTGTGGCAGATATTCAGCGCAAGGGGACAATAGGTATGACGAAAGCTTCAAGAAAAGGATATAATTCAAATACCCGGATATCGTCTATTATTCAAAACTTCATTCATAAATCATTCTTACGAAAAATTAGCCAAATAAACAATTATTGAGACATCTAAAGTCATAAACGAGCACAATGATAGTCAAATGGTTAAATGATTTTCGATCCAAATGATTTTCTGCAAGAACAATATTTGGCTAATCTTTTGTTAAACATCTACAAATGAAGGTTTGAAAAATAACATAGACTTCAATTTTCTTGAAAAAGAAATACATATTTATATATATATAACATAGACTTCAAGTTTCTTCCTTTTGAAAATTAATGAACTGCCTAATTAACTTGCACACTGTTTGGATACAGCCTTTTGGACAGGTGTTGGTATAACCATCGGCGTCATTTGCATCATATTCATATCAAGGAAAAGAAAGTTCTTCTTGAAGAGGTACTTCAAAACGGAGCACAGGTATGAGCTTGATATCGAAAAAGTTATAAAGAATTATGGGTCGTTTACCCCAAAGCGGTACACTTATTCAGATGTAAAGAAACTCACAAACTCATTCAAAGATAAAATTGGCAAAGGAGGATATGGCACTGTATACAAAGGAACCCTACCTGATGGCCATCTTGTGGCAGTCAAAGTCCTAAACGAGCCAAAGGGTAATGGAGAAGACTTTATTAATGAAGTTGCAAGCATTAGTAGAACTTCCCATGTCAACATAGTCAAGCTTTCAGGATTCTGTTATGAGAGGCATAAAAGAGCTTTGATCTATGAGTTCATGCCTAATGGCTCCTTAGACAAATTCATACATAAGCAAGGATCTTCGAACACAAATTTTCCTCGTTTAGAATGGAAAATGTTATTCGAAATTTCAGTAGGTGTTGCGCGAGGGCTGGAATACTTACATCGTGGTTGCAACACACGAATTTTGCATTTTGACATAAAGCCACAGAACATTCTTCTGGACAAAGACTTCTGCCCGAAAATCTCAGATTTCGGCCTTGCCAAATTATGCAAGACGGAGGAGAGTATTGTGTCCATGTTGGGAGCAAGAGGAACTGCAGGATACATGGCGCCAGAAGTATTTAGTCGGAACTTTGGAGGAATATCTCCGAAATCTGATGTTTACAGCTACGGGATGTTGGTTCTTGAAATGGTTGGAGCAAGAAAGAATTTGGATTACGGAGGGTCTCATACCAGTGAACTGTTTCCACATAATGTTTATAAAGATCTAGAGCTAGAGAAGGATGAAATTATCTTGGAGGGCATATCAGAAGGGGAAAAAGAAGTAGCAAGAAAGTTGATATTGATAAGTTTGTGGTGCATTCAAACAATTCCATCTGATCGGCCATCAATGAGCAAAGTAGTAGAGATGCTAGAAGGGCCCCTTCAGTCTTTGCAAATTGCACCCAAGCCTTTCTTATTTTCTAGTCCAATATCTGGTGCAGACTCATCCCAACCATCTGTGAGAAGCTAAGGAAGTTAGCTTTATTAGCACTTTCGTTTTTCTATTCGTTGGTTGGTTCTTTTTTCTTTTTCTATTGTATGTTGGTTACCCTTCACTGAGCAAAATAATTTAATGTATCAACAGTGTAAGCTAAGCATACAAGAAAAACAGAAGTATAAACCTTGGCCACTATGGAAAAATATTGATAGAATTTTTTTTAATTACAATAAGAAATATACCTTGTTTTAACAAGAAAAAAGTGATCCTTTCTTTTGTTAATCACCAGATTACAATCACATACAACCCAGCAAAGTTGGAGCACATACATACATATAACTAATCGGCTAGAATTAGGCCAGTCCTTCGACTTTACAAAGTTTGAGTATCCAGGACTTTGAATGGAAGGCTGCTGAAGTGGCAATGCCGCTTTATAGTGGCTCAATTGGCTGCATTCAGTCAGGCCCTTGCCTTGCTTCGCGAAAAGGTGTTGATCACCATCGCTAGCACAAGGGATTAGGGGACTTTTTAATAAGTGCAGATGTGATTTGAGACAGATTAGGAGTTCGAGGATTCCACTGGAGCATCTCAACAAGAAAGGTGTAGATTTGATGAACTTCCTGAAGAAATAACTGGAATCCTAGAGGCCGTTGGACGCCTCTCTCTTTCCTAAGTGTGACTCTTCAATTTTTGCACCTAGATAATCTGTATATCATTTGGATGACAAATGAAACAACAGAACATGCGTAGGAAAGAAAATTCAGATATTTATAATAGTTATCCTGATCTATAAATAATCCAAATATGAAACTAGGAGAATGAAAATGAATGAATTTTGCATATATATCACTACAAGGAAAAATATGATTAGCGACAAATTAATGAGCGACCAAATAATTTTTGGTCTCTGATGATGTAAATGGCGACCAAAATTTCCTATATGGTCGTCCAAACTTTGGTTGGATTTTTGCATATGCGGAACCTTGTGGATTATGTTCAGCGACGAGAAGTGGCAGATTATGCGATGAAACTTTTAGTCTCTAAAACGGATTTGGGCGACCAAATATTATTTTGGTCTCTAACCAGTGCTTTGGGATAAGAGCTAGGTCTATGCGCAGGCTATGGCTCAGGATTCAGAAGACTTGGAGCAGTCCAGACTCGATGCTTATAACCTAATGCAGGCACAAAAGCAAATTGCAGCAAGGGCCTATAACAGAAAGGTCAAGCAAAAGACTTTCGCCGAAGGCGACTTGGTATGGCGAGCCGTGCTTCCTATCGGGACTAAGGACCCTCGGTTCGGCAAATTCTCACCTAACTGGGAGGGACCGTTTGTTATCGAACGAATTCTGGCCGAGGCACATTCCAATTAAGGGATAGGGATGGAGAATAGCACAACCTACCAATAAACGGCCAGTATTTAAAGAAGTATACCCCGTCATTATGGGAGACGGCCGAGAATGGATTATGAGGTTCTTACAACTAGAAGTAAACAACACAACGAAGATAAAAAGACAAGGCATGCTTTCAGACAGAAGGAAAGAGGAATCATACGTCATTTATTTAAAAAGGGGTCACGTTCACAAAGGAGCGGCCAGTCCATGGCCGATTACAACATATAGATATACATAAGAAAAGATTGCATCCTAAATCTACGAACATCAGCTTCGTGGTCCCCTCGCTGGACAGGCAGATGTTTCTTCCTGAGACTAGGGGCGGCACTCAGGACACGGGTATGACCAGGTGAACCCAGGGCCGTCATTCCGGCCAAGGGAAGGGGCGGCACTCCGGACACGAGTACGACCAGGCGAACCCGGGGCGGTCATTCCGGCCAGGGGAAGGGGCGTCACTCTAGACATGGGTGCAACTCGGGTGCCCAGCCGAATGAACACGGCCACGGCCACCTTGGAATCATCGTACCAGACCCTCCCATCTTCATCAATCGAATTGCAATTTCTCCTCGGCCTCATAAGGAGGAAGGTCATCTTCCTCCAGGGCTGGGAAGGAATCACGGCCACATTTTGGTTCTGGCTAGGAAGACAGTCGGTGGACAGCAGGGGAGGAACAGCCATCTAATTATGGCCAAACGTCCAAGTCGCGAGGTTCAGCGGATATGGCTCCCCGGTTTTTGGAAGGGCTACAATGGGGGCCACTGGAGCAGGTTAAAATGAAGGGGAGAAGGAGTAAAGGAGGAACGAGGCCCAGGAATCACTAAGCAAGAGGAGAGCTTCAGAACAGGAGGCGTGAAAGAAAAATGAAGGAAGGCAGAGTTTTTATACTAGCACTGGAATTCAAAACAGGAGGTGTGATTCTTGAAAGACGAAACGGCCTGACAACGCACTCGGGGCACGCGAGGGTGTGTTTGAAACCTGGGCGCCGACGTTTCGGTTGGCGAGGTAAAATGATGGCTCGCACGAATCGAAAGCGCGATGACGTGTCAGAAGCCCAGAGGCCGTCGTTTCATTTGACGAGGCGAAGCGACACCTCGTGTAAGCGACGAGAAGTAGCACATTATGCGACGAAACTTTTAGTCTCTAAAACGGATTTGGGCAACCAAATATTATTTTGGTCTCTAACCAGTGCTTTGGGATAAGAGCTAGGTGGCGCGAAATCTAAAATTATTTGGCGACCAAATTTTTGGTCACTTTGTTGGTTCATTTTTGTCGCCATTTTTATATTCCCGCCTAAAATTTGGCAATAACGAAGCAACCAAAAGGGTTGGTCGCTACCGGTTTTTGCCGACCAATACTTTTAGTAATACGACAGTGTTTTAATATAATATTGGTCGTTGCAAAGGTACGACAAAAAAAAATCTGGTCGTTGAAAAGGGTAAGCAATAAATGCCCTGGCTCTATTTTTCTTCCCATTTACTTCACAATCAAAGAACACTTAGCTTTCAGACAAAAAAAAAAAAGGCAAGAGAAAACTTTGCTCTGTTCAACCAAACCCTCTCTCACTCACTCTCTCTGTCATCTCTGTAACCTAGAGAGATGACGTGAAGCCACACCCAATGCCGCTCATCTTTACATCCCATTCTCTCACTCACACTCTGTCTCTCTGCTCAACCCCAAATCTAACCCATCCACCAACCCACTATCAAAACCCACTCCTCCTTTTGTCCCTAAGGTCAAGTGAAAATCCAGTCCCAAGCTTTCATAATTTGTGTTCAGCTTGTTTATTGTCAGTCAATGAGCAGAATTTGAAGAAGGTAGTTGCTTTAACAAATTTTTTATTATTATTTCCTCTCAATTTCATCTATATTTATTCGATTGTGGTATGATGATGGTCCAAGGTTATGTTTTTCTTTAGTCTTTGTATTATATTTGAGCTTATTAGATTACAAAACTTTACACTTATTAGACTGTAATAAGTTTGTGCGTTTGGGGTCCAAGGTCTGATGATGGTCAAAGGTTCAATTGTGGTTTGATGATGACAAAACTTTGAACTTATTAGACTAAATTTACTTGCTTTCCGGTTTAGTGGAAAGGTCTGTCTCCAAACACACACACACATACACATAATTTTCAATATGGATGATAATACGTAGAGCAATGTCTGTGAACACATGATGAGGGATTGGGTTCCCTTGGAGTGATTTAAGTTTCCCCAAAGGGAGAAAGGGAACCGAAGCTGGTCTTTGCAAAGATAAATATATTCTAATTCTTCTGGTCCTCCCAAAATCTAAGGATGGCCTTTGAAAATTTCATGTTATGGATGTACACTTTTGCTTGCTTTTTTACTCTTGGAGTCTTTTTTCAACTCTCATTTCCCCTTGAAAATGGCATGGCTTTTCTATAATGAAATTCTGCTCATGATAAGCAAAACATGTTCAGATTATGAGTGTGGTTCTGGAAAAAAATAAATTCAAATAATGCAAAGAAAATGGAACATCATATATTAGAAAATTCGGGATTTAAATACATAGTGATAAAACTATATGTTCACATCCATTGCTCTCAATGTTATTGACTACAAGTTACATAGTGATATTAGAAAATTATGATGTCTTGTTTTGTGGAATGATGAGCTTCAGTAGTGAAAATTAATATTGTTTTGGTGATCAGGTCCTCAAAATCGTTTGCGCACAAAGAAGGGCCTGATTTGGATTCGAGTTCTTATTGAGTTGGTCCTGATTCAGAGCTTATTTGGGACTGGTTTATTAAAAGGTTAGAGTATAAAAATTATTTTAGAACCTTTGTTTGGATATTGGCCAAATTTGTGAGTTTTTGATGTACTAGACTTGTGCAAGTATGCACTCGCAAGGTTGAAACTAGAGTCTTTGGTCTCTCCAAACACGCTAAGTTTGGTATTTTTATTATTTGACTTTTACTAGTTTGAAATTTATTTTCTCGCATTGATATACTTTTCTCATTTGTCTCCATTTTCTGTAGGTTGTTGAATTATTTGCTTAAGAGGTACTTTTTTAATTTATGCAGTTTTGCTGTTGGTGGATTTGTAATTAAGGTTTTGTGGGTTATGAAAATTTACAAATTTTGCTTGATTTGTATGATTGCATATGATTTTGGTTGTTGAATTGCATATAATTTTTGTTTTTTTTTTAATTTCCATATTATTTTTATAGCAATAAATGATATAAAAATTCTAAATACATATTTAGTAATTGAACAGATTCAGTACTTTGGAAAAGAAAAAAAAAACACACACACAGATTCAGCAATTAGACAATAGGATTAGATGTTGGGATGTTGGCAATTCATTGGGGGCCAGATTTTTCAAGGGAGGCTAGGATAATTTACCCAAAGTAAAACCAAATGCAAGCAAAGCACTTACAGTTTACAGCTACAAAGAGATGAGGTAATTTCAAAGGCATAAGAATAAGTAATATTGTAATAATATTAGAAAATAAAAAATCTAAATTTTAATTGAAGAAAAATAATGATCCTATTAAGAAACAAAGATCAGCTCCACATGCACCACGACCACAAGAGGCACCACGACAACAAGATCACCAATTTGAGCACCCATGTGATCAGCCGCCATTGCAGTCACCACATCCACATCAGGAGTCTACATCTGCCTCGCTAGCAACTCCTCACACAGGTAGAAAATGAGTTTATTATGATGCTGAAGATGTTTTTATTATGGACTTAATATGCTATGATGACTAATGATTGGAAGTATGGACGTATTATGAATACTGAACTGATTTGTCTCGGATTTTATACAAACTTAATTGTTGGCAGATGTATATAGGACCAGAACTCCAATTTCATATGGATGTTTATATGAATCTATTTTTAAATTTGAGCTGATTTCAGGAGCAGAACTCCAATTGTACAAACAATTTAGACTCTTAGACAAGTTGTTTTTGGTTTTTAGGCCAGGGCGATTGTTTAGAGACTTTGTCAAAGCATAGGAACACTTGTGGTCCAACTGTGGGGCTTGGTACTTGTTCTGTGGTTAATAAGTCACAAACACTGATTATAAGCACTTTAAGGAATATGCTACAAAGCATAGGAACACTTGTGGTCCAACTGTGGGGCTTGGTACTTGTTTTGTGGTTAATAAGTCACAAACACTGATTATAAGCACTTTAAGGAATATGCTCATGACCTTTAGCTTGCATGGGCCACACCTCCCACTAACAAGGTCTTTGTAACTCATAGGAAAATAGAGGAGTGGCACTGGTTAGTCGTTGATAACTTGTACACAAATGAGAAATACCAGGTATCTTAATTAATTAGGTACTATTGTGACTCATTGATTATGATCATTTTCTTATTTATTAGTTAGAAGAAATATAACAAATTCTCTGTGCTTTTATTGAAGAAAAGGTGCAAAGACAATGCTGATAACAGAAAAAAGAAAGAATATGAACACATAGAAGGTTCAAACCCTTTCCTGAAACATAAGGAAGCAGCCGAGAAGGTAATTAGTAAATTCTTTACATTTAATGTTATTCCTACTAAGTTTAAGTAGTCCTCCTTTGTTAGTTATTGGGAAAGGAAAAGCATTAAAGTAAAGGTGAATGTGATATCTGTTGAAATAATCCGAATAGCATGGCAGCAAGAATATCAATGGGTTTGATTGAAATTAGGTGAAGTGGTACTGTGTGGAAGCAAAATATATTAATAAAATGACCCCTTGTGATTTCTTGTTGTCTTGATCATATTAGACCCCTTTTGATTTCTTAAACTATTTTTTTTTCTTGGGAAAATGTAGAAGGGTCAACATGTTACACTTATCGATGATTGGAACAACATGCATATATGCACTGGGATAAAGGCGTATGGGTCAATGAAATGGGTTTGATTGAAATTAGGTGAAGTGGTACTGTGTGGAAGCAAAATATATTAATAAAATGACCCCTTGTGATTTCTTGTGGTCTTGATCATATTAGACCCCTTTTGATTTCTTAAACTATTTTTTTTTCTTGGGAAAATGTAAAAGGGTCAACATGTTACACTTATCGATGATTGGAACAACATGCATATATGCACTGGGATAAAGGCGTATGGGTCAATGAATCTGCTGAGAATAAGGGGGTAAATAATAAATTTTCCTATACTTTTAGTAAGCTACATGTTCTTTTTTTTTTTTTTTTTTTTTAATGTTTGACTTTTACTAACACAACTAGACTTCCTTTTTTGTAGAAGAAAATGAAAGTAGCAATGGCAATGTACATTCAGCAGGGGTCTGTGACTTCAAGCAACGCTTCTGAATAGATCTCAGTTTCAGACATGCACCAATTTGGGATTATGAATAAAGAACTTAGGATTGGATTGGGCTCGAATCTTCGAGTGGAGACTAGTTCTCGCTCTACAAGTAGATACGGCAAAAACTCTATGACTGAAGATGATAGATACAATAAGCTCTCATAAACTGTGGAGAAACTTTATGACATCGTTAAGCAGCTACAAGCTGGGATTAATGATAGATCTAGAAAGCGTAAACACAACAGTAAGTGCAATGGTAAGGGACCTTGGCTCCAACAAGATTCTTCTTATTTTGATGATTCTACAACTGATCACAGTGACAACTTACAAGGTGGTGGTGATGGTGTGTATATTGGTCTTGAAGATATTGTTCATGGTCATTAGGTAGGTTTTAGACCTTTTGGTTGTTTTGGGTATGGATGATCTTGGTGATTTTGTGACTTTGATGGACTCAAATCCTACAATCTGACTTAGGTATGTGGTTTTTGTTTCAAATCCAAGATATGTGTGATCAATAATATGATCAAGAATATGACTTAGGTATGTGGTCAGATTCACCATACTTCTGACTATAAGTGTGATTGTGATCACACACGTTGCTCATCCATATATTAAGTAGAATATAGACTTAGCTGAAATTTTATATAGGCTTTGGTTTGAATGGATGCATATGTTTCTGTTGCTTGTGGCAACTGCTCCTAAGACTTAAAGAGATGATGAAGTACTTTTGTGTGTTTTTGAAGGAAAGTGGAGGTATATGTGTAAGCTATAACTTTTATTTATATTTCATATGTCTTAGTAGACATGACT